AAAAAGAACATGAGTCACACCTGAACAGTATTGGAGTTAATCTTGTGAGAGAGTATCTGAGTGGTATGAAGTAGTACTGAAGCAATATTCTGTGTGTACCTCTTCTTCAGAAAAGAAAATGGAAAGTGCTTAGAAGTGGCTAAGCAAATCATTAAATATGTTCTGCAGAAATGTAGGTATCTCAGTTTACTTATGTGAGAGGAGACTGTAAGCAGCGATTATCAAGGTTTTTTTCTTAAACTACATATACAAGGATGTGCTTTGACAATTAGTTTGTATGACCGCAGCATGAGTAAACCCAATTCAGTGGAAATTTCCACTCTGCATAGGGTGTCTCAAACTGTGACATATTTGTATAAAACTTTAATTTTGGACTAGATCATTCATCCTGCAGCAACTGCTTGGAATCCAACTGCACTGGAGCTTCCTGTCACCCAGAGGTGAGGAGGTTTCTACAACATATTATGAAAGACTAGGCTGGAAAGAGAAAGGCACCAGGATGTTTTCTGATCAAAATGCTGATTCCTTTAAGAATTTTCAGGATTCACTTGAGATGCTCTGAGTTCTTGTCAGGGCAATCTTGGCAGAAGCAATCAGAACAAAGAGAAGCTTTTATGACTGGTTATCTTGTTGAAGAGCAGATGGATGTAGATCATATTCTGCTTCTGAAGAGCAGCTGCAGCCATTGCTCTATACCTTGAGGCTACCCTGCAGAACCAGAAGTATAAAAGAAGACATGGATTTCCCCTCAAAGAGATGGACATGGGAATCCAGTGGCTGAAAGAGATGTAGCAGGTTACACTGGGAACAGGAGATCCACTGGCTGGAAGCTAGAGAAACCTCAGACTAGAAATACTGTGGAATATTTCATCAGATTCCTCCTCATCAAGTCTGTATGCAGGGACTTAGTTAAACTGAAGGAGCAAAACTCATAGAGATGCCAGGGTAAATTCTCCAGTTCTGTTTAGCCTCTTATGTATTCTTATATAAAACCAGATTATCTCAACAGATCCTACTGACTGGAAAATCCCCAATAAAAGCATATTTTAGAAACTATTTATTTCCATCATATCCATATCACTGAAATTGCCCTCTTCTTTGAAATTAATTCTGTTCTGATGAACTCCTGATGACCTTCCTAGTCTCTCTAGTTACCTCTATTAGTTCAGTGTTGCTCCATGATTTACCACTTTGGGTTTATATACATACAGAATAAATTATTTACATAGGCTTGTAGGCCACTGAACACAGTATTTTCAGTCTTAAATAAAGTTTGCATATGTAAAAATGCAAAATCAGGACTTCTGTGTCAATTACTCTGTACAAATTATTACTATTCAGAGAAATTGTTAAGAAATAAAAGTTAGTGTCATTGTCATCCACCAGCTTTTGAAAAGTTTCCTGTCAATGCGTTACAGTCATTTATAATTACTACTTGTCTCTGCTGCTCTTTACCAAATAAGTTATGATATCGTTATTTTACATGTGCACATGATCAATTTAGGATGCAGTGCAAGAAAGAGTAATTCAAAAAGTGCTACTCTCTTCTATTATAAATGGTACTACAAAAATGGGGTTTGAGATGATCACTTTTGGTTTTCTGTGAATTCAACATATATGTCTCTTTTAGTTTATATATACATATGATAGCCCAAACCAAAGCAACTCTGTTTCAAACAGTGCATAAACCTAGTCCATTTAAGTGGTCCTACCTAATAGGTGTTCTGTTTGACCCAGATTAATACAAAATTGTCCAGATTAATACAATTTGTCCAGAGCTTCAAAGAAAAAACACCTCCTGATCCCCTTGTAATATACTCTGTAGACAGACTCCTGTATTGAGAAAAAGAAGTTGAACAAGCTCAACAAGTGCTCATCTCGTAAATTTTTCTCTCCAGCACAAAAAGGCTTGAATTTGCAGAAAAGGTGCTTTTTTTAAACATCGGGTATATTTAAAAAACAGAAAGTTAAAAGTAAATGAAAAATTGTTTCAATTTGCTGAGAGCCTTTTCTTTATTTAACAGATTGACACAGTTTGAAGGTTTCCTTGAAACTGCTGTAAGAAGATTATGTGCAAAGAATATAAGTATTTCTCAATATTTAGGTCTCTTTAAAATTTATACCAACAAAAGAAAATATTAACAAACTTTCAATAAAATAAACTGTGTTTTAAACCACTGGGACTGCTGAATAACAAGCTCCTTCTTATCACATCATGAACAAAGCACATAAGAGTAAGGATAATAATGAACAAACATCACAGATGTTCAAATGAAACAGTAAATCACTATTATCAAACACTAAGAAACCAACATTGTTATGACAGGCTTAACTCTGATCCAGGAATTTATATGAGAAGAAAACGTAGGCTGTATTATATATTTTCCTAACAGATACTTTGAAAAGAAAATATCAGTTGACATTTGTACCTGCTGACAGTTGCATTTCAATAGAGCATTTATAATTGCTTTTAAAACATCAGATTACAAAATGAAAGGGAAGATATGGCCAAAATTAAGTTAAGCTTAAAGCATACTTTTAGGCATGCTGACCAGCACATACCACTTAAAGAAGTATAAATTAGAAGAAATGTAACAGTTCTGGCGTACCTGTACAGGTGGAACTAAGAAAATAACATTAATTATATTGTCAGTTCTTATGCTCTGCCTATCAATTATCTGTTTGTTTGAATTCAACAAAAATAATGAGTTTGCCAAACATTTAGGACTGCAGTGACTGCTGGGTAAGTATTCTTTCTCTGCACACATCTTGTAGAAAGGCTCACAGCCCAATTTCTGCTACAGAAGAGATAGCTGCGCTTTACAAAAGTAGTCCTTCAAAATACTGACCCATGAAATGAAATCAAGTGCATTGGCCATTCTGATCTGTTAGCACTGAAGGTGAAGAACTGGAAGTAAACAATGGCTTTATGGGAAAGAGTTCCCACACTTTGGTGTGGGAAGTTTGGTGTAATGTAATGGAACAGCTTTTGGGGCAGTTTCTTAAAAGAATAAACTCTTGGTTGGGCTCAACTTCCAGTGCCCTTGCTTAGGCTTTAGCTCCATTTGTTACAACTGAAGCAATTTTATTCATACTCAGCACAAAGTACTTTTTGTATACATGCATACTAAAAATGATGCAATTTGCATCCTTTTAAAAATATGTGTTGAAAAGGCAGACTGGCTCCTGCAAGATAGTTTTAGAAAAACTGGCGTAGTTGGTGCAGCCTGGTCTACTCTTGAGAAAAAGCATTACTACTGTGTTTTAGTTTGAGCTTCAAGGAAAATCTTGGGCTGAAACTATAGAGAGGCATCCAAAGAAGAAGAAAAGTAGTATTTCCATCCTGCTTTGTAGCAGACCTTAAAGAGTGCCAGAGGTCCTAAGATCCCCGCAAACACCCATGAATTGCAATGCACTACATACCAGAGAATCATGATCTGCAACACAAGTCCATTTGAGGTCACTTAAAAGGGAAGAAAAAAAGGAGAGGGGGTAAATCTTTCAAACACCATGTAGCCTCTGAAAAAAAAGTCAAGGCTGAAAAGAGTTGATTCAGACACATGGATATTCATACCAAAGGGTCCCTTTTATCTGAGATGTCCTGGAACACAGAACAAAACAATGCATGTAAGTTACCTCTTTTTCTCACTTATCAACTTCTTTATAAATGATAATATTAATGAGATGCATCCATAGTAATCTACACCTAGTTTTATAATCCCAAAGACAGTCTGACTTGCAAAGCACAATAAAGTATTTTTTTAGCTAGTTCTCCTTTGTAACTATGTCTTTGAACTGATAAATTACCATGCATGTCCTTTTCTCTCAAACCACTTGGTAATTTCTTTCACACCTGAGGTACACTATGATCATTACGAAACATTCTGAAGATGCACAGCTGCACTGGTATCATTTTCATCAATGCCTTTGAAAAACATTTCCATAATTTATCAAGCTTTTAAAAGACACAGGTTAAGAAAAGTATAATCAGTGATTTTTTTACTAGGGTAACACATCAGCCTTCTGAAGTTTATAGATGTGATGATATCAACATACCTCACACATTCAGTGTGGGGAAGGGGTCTGGAGTATGATGGACTGTAAAAAATGTTTAATAGATTTTTCTTTCCCTTTCTTTTCTTTTCCTTTTTTTTTTTTTTTGCCAGCCTTTACACTACACATTTTTATATCTTCTAGAATGATAACTTTGTCTTTCATTTAAAAGAAACACATTAAGCAACAGTCAAATACCCTTTATTTATACCTAAAGTGCTGCTTTGTGATTTTTCTGAGCATAACCTGTGGAATGGTTCACATTAGCTCTGCATCATTAATGGAATTAATGAATTATCACATTGCTTTTCGTTGTTATGGGCACTAATAACACACGCACACAGCTGTGCCAAACTGCTGCTTCTTCAGAGGTCTGCAGCTCAATTTTCTAACTCCCTTTTAAAACGCACGTTTCCAACTTCTGGGACTTGAGCAGCTGCCCTGCCCCATCCCACGCGTGAGCCCGATCCCGCTCCGGAGCGCTGCAGCGGCAGGCGGCGGTGCCGTGCGGGAAGCCCCGCTCGGGTCCCGCTGCCGCGGTGGGTGCCCCGCACCAGCAGCTGCAGGAGCGGCAGGAGCAGGAGCCAGCCGCGCTCCTGCCCCTCTCCCGCAGCCGCGCGGGGAGCTCGGGGCCGGGCCGCCCCCGGCATGGGGGGACTTTCCCCAGCACCGGGCCGAGCCTGGGCTCACCAACCCGCCCAGCGAACAAGTGGGATGCGGCTGAAGTTTTACTTTGCCAGCGCCGGCTCCCGCCGCAGCCGCTCGCGGGAGCCACAGCGGCAGCACCGACGCCTTTTTTGGTTGAAGTTTAGCGGCGCGACACGGCCGCCTCTCCTGCCCCTGCCCCTGCCCTGCCCCTGCCCCCGCCCGGAGCCCCGAGCTCAGCCTGGGGCGCGATTCGCAGGTGCCGCGTCCCGGCGGGGCAGGCGGGTCCCCGCCGTACTCACCCGCTGCCCAGGCGCACGGTCAGCAGCAGCAGCAGCAGCCGGGCCCCGAGCCGGCGGATCCAGCGGGGCGCGGAGCCCCCCCAGGCATCCATGGCCGTGAAGGCGCTCTCCCTTGCCCGAGTTTTCTCCGGAGAGGCTGGGAAATTGCGACCCTACCGATCCCACCACCCCCCGGCACACGGAAAGGAGAGGGAGAGGAGGGGAGGGGAAGGGGAAAAAAAAATAAAATAAAACACCCAAACAGGTAGAAACCCACTCTGCAAGGACCGAGCAACTCGCCCAATAGGCTCATCAGGTTGCTTCATAAATTATCCTAAAACTGCTGGACGAATCAATCCCTAGCAGAGGTGGAGCCTCCTTTACTAGAAGGGAAACATGCATGGGAGAAAGGGTGGCATTGATTTGGTATTTTTCTTCAAATAGGGAAATGAAATAGACCTTACATATGTACAGATACATGCAAATATAAATAGGCAAAATGCATAAAATGTTAAATACATGTTTAAAGCTACACATATATATTTAAATATTTCTAATTTTGAAGCTACTCAGAAGGCGACTCTCAGAGAGGCAGCCGGTCCTGTCCTCCCTGCCAAGCGGAGACCCGCAGCCGGGAGCAGAAGCGCCGGGGATGTGCACGGACATCCGCGGGGACCGCGCGTCTCTACGTCTGGCACGATCGAGATTCTGGGGGGGCGGCCCTAGCCGCGGGAAGGGGGCATCCGCCGTCCCCGCGTTCGGCCCCGGGAGACGGAGCACACCCGCAGCCGCAGTCCCTAAAGCCGTGCTGGAGGCAGGCGGCGCGCCGGGCGCGGAGGGGCGGCCGCGGGCGTTGCGCGGCGCCGAGACGCGAGCGGCGCAGGCTCCGGCCGCCGGCGGCTCTGCGCGGCCGCGGGGTGCCCCGGGGGGGACGGGCGGGAGGCGGCCGATGCGCGGTGTGCGCTGTGAAATGCGCCAGGGCATGCAAAGCGCAAGGATAGGTTTGGGGTTTTTTTCTTCTTTTTTCCTTCTTGTCATCTCTCGGCTGCTCCCTCCTCCCGGTCTCTCTCCGGAGACGCAGGCGGGAAAGCAGCCGGACGTGCCCCCCCGGCAAGCCCGCACACACGCACCCCGAAGCCGAGGCAGAAAAGCACTGCGGCCGCGGCGGAGGTCGCTGGTACCGCGCTCGCAGGCTTTGGCCGGCAGTAGGGGCGAGTGGGCACGTCCGGGCGGGAATAGCGCTGAATTAGCGCGTATTCCTTCTCTCGGCTTCAGGCTGTCGCCAACCCAAATCCCTGGCCCCGGCGATGCCCTTGTTCGCAGCTCTCTATAGGGCACTTACGGAGTAACCTGTGCACCGAGTTCTCGGCAGAAGTAGCAAACCATTTTACAGACATCATCATCATCCTCCTTCAAGTTGTCACTGTACAGAAATGTAAATAATCCCCCATCCAGTGGTTATTCCGATGAAAGGCAGTGTTTTGTCTTCTGTACACATCATCATTTGGTTATTATTTTATATATACAGTTTACTGCTTTAATGGTTAAAGAAACTCACCATGCTTCAGAGAGCTGCAGTACATTAAATGAAAATTCAACAACTTGAAAATTAATAGCCAGTCCTGGGGGTACTGGCAGACGGTAAAGGCACATATTATTACATGACCTGAGGTCTCTTTACTGGTGGATTGACACAGCAGGCAGCATCCTAGCATGATGGCAAAGGCATGAGCTCAGAGCATATGCATTTATTACAGAGTAAGTGCAGAAGCAGCTCCTCTGCTGCAGCTGGTGGCACTAGCTCCAAGAAGCAGGATTGGTGTCCCTCTCAGCACGACAATGATCACAGCCCACCCCCAAGTCCCTTTCTCTCTGGGAAGTCCCTCTGCCCTGATAATGGCCATGGTCCTTAGGTTTATTATAAATTTATCTGTTAAATTGATGGTATTTTGCAAAATATGCAATGAATGCCTATGTCTTTGCATTCTGATGTTGTGGAATCATTAAAGCTCTTTACCAGTCTATAAAATTCCACCCTGTCACTGAAGGATATGCAGTTAAAGTAACTACTGCGAAAATTTGACATAAGAAGTTTAAACATACAGGATTGCAAGACATCTTTTTTCTACATGAGCAGTTTGGAGCATCTACTTAAAAACTTAATTTCACTGCTGTGTAGATCCAGCAGCTGGCTAACAGTGAAAGAGGTGGAAAGACACAGCTAAAATAACATGTAGCATGAATAGTGAGAAAATTGAGTTTTTCACTTGATTTTTTGGGTTGAGAACACTAAGTACTAGGAGTACTGTTAAAAAATTAAAACAAAAGCAGTGCCAATGGTATTTCTCAAATGACACAAAACTAAGTGCCGTCTGGACAAGCTGGTTTCAGGTGAATCTGAATTTTTCTTGTTCTTTCATGTAAACAATAGAAACGCATCCCTCTAAAAACTAGAGAAGAAATTATTCCACAATTAAGTAAAATTAGATGAGACATGAGAAAAACTTGATGAGAAATAGGTATAAAAGTTTTGAAAAGCAAACAGGGAACAGAAAATAAAAAAATCACCATCAGAAGAAAACATGAAGGGAAAGAAATCAACTCAGATTGTCTGTGTTCCTAAGGAAAATAAAAGAAGCAATAAATGAATTTTAAAAACTGCACAATAGAAAAGAGAATTTCAAAGAAAACCTGGGGAAATCACCTAGTCGGGTGTCAAAGGAAGGAGACGTTGATACAGGACAGTACACTAAAAGACACTGCGTTAGTTGCTAAGGCCTGCAGATATCTCTCCTCTGCTTGGTAGTGGCACAATCTACCTACAATCTAATTTAACAGCAGTATTTAAATTCTCAGCTAAAAACACCTTCTGATGCTGGAAGTAAGAAGACCATCTTTAAAAAAAAGTCCACCAAGGTGAAGAAACAAGTTAATCATGTCACTTCAGACCTGACAGGCATCATTTCAGAAACATCAAATTAACCAAAGTTAAGCAAAACTATAGGATTCACATCACTACTATTACTAAGGAAGAACAAACCAGAATGGCTTCTGCAATGGAAAACCATGTCTTTATCTTCTTCAGTCATATTTAATGAGTCTATCAGTAGAAGAACAGAACTTCATAAATCACTGTCATTCAAAACCATTTTAGGTCTATCAGGAATTTGTTTAAAAAGATGCATCGTTGTGGGGTCAGTAGGAAAGTAAGGCCATACTGCTTGAGACTACTGCCAGCTATTAACTTTCCATGTTAACAAGTTGAATTCTTACAAATCTGCTCTTGAGACTATTGTATTTAACTGATTACTCACTGACCTAATAGTTTCAAAGAGAAGAAATACAAAAAGTTGCAGATGAAAGTTTCAGATTGGTGAAGTCTATAGAAAAAAAAGTTAATATATTGTTAAATCATCATAGTGTAGAATATCAATTTTAAAATGGGAAGTGATAATGTGCTGACAAATGGAAAAAAAAATATTTAATGGGTTGAATTTGGTAAAGGTTGTAAGTACCTAAATGTAAAATCACATCACAGCTGTCAGCTCTGCTGCTGCCTAGTAGTGGAAAATCCAGAGAAGACACATATTCAGAATTAACTGAAATTTCTCTAGGACTGTAGAGGAATACCTATACAAGCAGGAGAAGCACTAATTTGAGCAGCTCAGAGACTAAACTCTGCCCAAGCTTACTGGAAATCTTTAAGGAGTGCAAGATGGGATAATCCAATGTAAATGACCTCTAAAACACAGCCAGGCTAGATCACCAGTTCCGTCATTTCTTAAAAATGTAATTATTGATTTGGATTCCATGGTAATACACCTAACCTCATGCACTATAAAAGGAGCAAAGGCACTTCACACAAGGTCTTGATTTCCAGTCTGGAAGCCACCTATTCAACCACAAGGTACCTACAATCTGTGATTGATTCATCTAAAAGGACATGAGAAAGAATTTTCATTATTAAAGCTGAAGTCCAAATAAAAGGAGGAGGAAGAAAATCTGCCACATTATTATATAAACAGCAACTATCACTATATTTTTCACCTGGGAGGCTTCACACTTAGTATTGAAGAGCATTTTGATTCTTCACAATTCAATTGCTCAGGACCACAGAGGAACTTAAAAACACTCCCATGTAATTTTACATAGCTGACATCCTACATCTGCTGCATTTCTCTTGGATATAGCTATTTCCCTGACAGGAGCATATGTGAATTGATGCCAGATTTGTATGCCTGCATACTATTTGAGTGCATAAGAGCTTTGAAAATCTAGACTTGGTGGATGGCCCATCTTCATTCACTGTGCTTGAGGGAAGTTAATGGCTCCCATGGGGTTCTCTAAGGAGCACTTACCCTGCTGAGAGCAGTTATCCAGCATGTGGAGATGGAAGAACAAATTATTATGGTGTTCTGTCCTCCACCAAAAAAAAAGCACACAGAACAGCAAGAGCTCAAGGAGCACCGCAGTTATGTCTTCAAAACGCTAGGTTGACATAAAAATATTTTGATGAAATTGCATTTGTAGACCTTAACTGTGTAGTCACAAAACAATTTTCTGTGTGCACCTCACACCTTAGATTTCTAGAATCAAAGAATAGGTTGGAAGAGACCTTTAAAGGTAATCTAGTCCAATCTCCCTGTCATGGGCAGGGGCAATTTCAAAAAGTACACACATGTCATTTGTGTGCTTGCATTTGAGTGAGCACAAATGTAAGAACAGAGTCACATGCATGGTATTTAAAACCTGCAACCCAGATGAAAACAGTTCCATTCTTCTTAGGGAAGTTCAGAAAATGTGGTTTTAAATATGCATCATCATGGTTAATCCTACCTGAATGTTTACTCCAGCACAAGTTTAAAAAGCTGTCTCAAACAGCATAGTAGCCTAGTCCTACAATAAATGTAAAAAAATCACAATAAATAAAGAAAACTAATGAAAACAGTTTGGTACTGACCTTTCTAAAAGAGGCCTTTAAACTGGTGATGGATATCCACAGCAGGAGAAGACAAAGATGCAGAAATGTAACTTCAGTGCAGCTTGTATATTGTGTTTTGAACCACAAAATAATTGTTTTCAGTGAAACAGTCAACATCTTAATATAAAATAAATTATAAAATTCTCACTTTTCATAACTAAATAATATTTTAATTAGGATTTCATCTCTGATACATCGATTTAACTGCTCACTCACATTACTCATTAAAATGATTACTAACACACACATCTTCAGTTCCACTTAAAAATTAAGCACTTAAAAATTAAGGGAAGTAATTTCAAGTAGAGAAAAGCTGATGAAGAAAGAAGATGGCACCTATCTTTGCATCCAGGGGAAGGGGAAGTGTTGCAGCATATTAGATGATATTACTTTACATTTAGCATGTTACACTTCCTCTCCATTTAAGTTAAAATGAAATTAAAAACAAATTGAAGTGTAAACACACCTGTGGTAACGAGGCTGGAGTGCTTAGGTACAGAAAGATAACTTCAAACCACAAACATTCCCTTGGTCTGTTACTATTGTCATTGCCTTTAACCTTCAAGTATTTTCAACACAAACCAGCAAACAGCAAATAAATGCTTTTTGATCTTTCCTGTCTTACA